TGTGTGTGTGTGTGTGCAAGTTCATTAATCTGTGACACTGGTGTAGGGGACGCGCACAAGGTTTACTCACCATTGTATGTCATAGAAGCTGCTATATGAGCTGTAAATCGATTGATGCTGCACTACCTCCATGACCCTTTCAATGTCATTTGAAGCGTGCTTCTCACAAATGTTGCCTTTTGTTGCCCTTTTGATTCCTTTGGACCGTAGCGTCAACTTTTCAAGCTTATAAGACTGAGTATTTCAATGCTCTTGGTATCTTCCCATATGTGGGGAATGTGACCATTGTGAGGGATAGAGGTGAACATGTTCTGAGAATATGGGTTTTTTGTTCATATCCATACCACTCGCGTTTGAACGGTCATCCTCTTGTTCTGGTATAATTATTCCGGTGAGCCCACACCAAAGGGAAGCACTGGACTCGAGTTTCGCTCTTATTAGAGCTCATCAGCAGTGCGTATCCAACGGCCGTGCAGGGATTTGAACCCCGGACATCTGACATGCGAGGCGAGCGTGTAACCACCAGTCCACCAACGCACTTTAAAAGCATCTGAATTATCACGTCTGAACAGGCGAACATGTTCACATCACTTGAGCGATGTGATTAGTGTGCCCGACTCATCGAACGACGACCCAGTAACTGTCCTGGTTGTGACGATCGACATGGGTTTTATTTCCTCCGCACAAACACTCAGACTTGGTTGTGGGAATAGCGGAACAGCAGCACCATCTCGGTGAAGACCGGATCGTCCGGGAAATACTAGCTGTTCCCGCTCCGTTGTCTTGTTGCCTGAGCCACTTATCTTGCCAAAGCAATGGCTCTAAACTCGTGTCGCTCATGTTTGACGTAAAAAGGGTCCAGACGCAACCAGAGGATGACTCTGAAGTGAGGGAATCACCAGTGATCTCAGTCATGCTACTAACCATCAACGGGTATTCCGTGGCGAGATACGTTGTTTTGTGACTCTGCCCAGGTTGTAGAGGCACTCGCTTCAAAGCTCTTACATTCAGTGCTTGCTCCAGGATAACATACGAACAACTGTTCTTGGGCCACACCACTTGCAATGTCTGATTATGTCATTCTCGTCCTCCTTTCTTCGGCGAACGGGTTGTTTATCTGGATGTTTTTCAGCTCAATAAATGAACCGACTTCTCTCGCGCTTTCTACTGGCTTTTACCTATAGGTGATACCGCGCGGACTGGAGTTAGACTATGGAGCGAATTACTATCTGTCAGTTTCAATGAACTCTGGCATATTCAGCATGCATGTGCTTTAACCGATTTCTTTCCACGCTTTCTATGTCAGATCCTGAGGAAGTTGGACTTGAGTCCCCATCTCGGGCACCAATAGTGGTACGTTTGTCCTCCATTCTCCAATAACTCGTTATGTGTAGTCAGTACCAATTCTGGCAGTGAGATAGTAGAGATGAGTTCTTTGTGATACTTGAACCATTGTCAACTCATATAACTCACGTTTGCTTACAGAAACTGTTTGACTACTCAGCACAGTCGGACCAAGTCGAAGAACCTCAGGGGTCAACGGAGGTGAGTACTTATCATACGACCCGTTTGGCTTTACGGTTCCAAACCAGTGATATTTAGGGATTTTTCAGTTTTCCCAGATGAATATTCGTTTGCTTAAACCGCACATACCCGCTGTTCGTTGTTTGCTCATAGCTCATGCAGTTGGGGTCAGGTTGAGCGTCTGCTAACTTTTAAATTTCTACGGACTAGGCGCATACCAGACTGTACCTCTGATTTCGCTGTGCCTTATCCGCAGGTAATATTGTCATTTCCATGAATTAACGTCCCAAAAAAATTCCAGCTCTCTTCCAACGGTACGGCAGTCTCATGTCTCTCTATCTCATCCCGGACAGATGAACTATCCACACTCTGCAGATAATGCTGGCTAGGCCACGTGTGTACTTTCCACATGGCACCGTTCTCTCTGCTCAGTCAGGATTGTAGCAACCAAAAAATGGCGCTACCCCCTACCTCTCCGCATCTAGGTCCGGCATTGCCGCGGCACGATCCGGCCTAACAGCCATCCGTGATCAAACGTCGTAGCTATTACCTAGAGGTTCATAACAGTTCATAGTTTTCAGTTCACTTCCAATATACATGAGCTGTTTTGGCCATCGTCTTCAGTGCATAACAGTCCTTTCCTTATAGTCACTTGTTTCTCGCCTAAGTAGATGAAACCAAAGTGCTTTTCGTACATGATTTGTGGCTGACGCACTAGGCCCAACCGACCATACGATGGCATATAGAGATGCGTCACTTCACGTCAGGGCGGTTTTATAACATGATGCTCGAGTCTGTAGCACTGTCATCATGTGGTTTGCCATACACCGATGCTCGCCTTGTTCGGATAAGGGAGATTCATCTGATGCCTCCATGTGATCAGCTCCAAATAGGCCTCAATCAGTTTGCTTGTCCTGGATTCTCCAGTCCTGGTTGTCTAACATGGTTATGGACTAATTCGTTGGCAAAACTCGGACGAGAAGTTTGTGGAAACCAGCACAGGCTGATGCCGAACGTTTCGCAAATGCCCTCTTCGTGGAAACGTGCGTGAAAATGTTTATATTCCAGTTGAAATTCAGTGGCAGTCATTGTGTTCGCCGTCTCATAAACAGTGGTATGCGGGCTAGATGGCTCAGCAGTTAGAGCGCTAATTTACTGACCGAAAGGTCTGTGGTTCGAACCCGACCTCTGCCTCTCGACTTCCCCTGTCTAGGCTTGGGCAACCTGGCAGTATCTCAGCCCTCATGCTTCCGGGCGTTATATCAGCTAGGTACCAAAACGGTGTTACGGCTGAACGATTTCGATTTTTCCGGTGTGCATCATTACCAGGTGATTAAGGTTGTGCGTGAAACTTCTGCCACCCCAGTCGCTGTTATTGCAACGCGATGCTACAGCGGACCAGCTAATTAACCCCCTAATGCTAACAAATCATGTTGGCTTTCAGAACGCACGTGACTGTCAGTCAATAATCCAATTCCACAGGCCACGTATTCTTACATATACCTGTACATACATTGATATATCAACGTATACCAACAGAATTTGGTAATAATAATGAAAACTTACGGAGGCTATTCCCGTAAACTATTCCACTAGGATCTTGGCCATCACAGAAAACATATGACTAAAGACGAAGATCTCCGTCTTTGTGTATACTGTCTACCGTACACCACCGACCTGCATTCAACTCTTTGAGGTGGCTCATAGTGGCATTCGCGTCCCATAAACAGGGACTTTGTGCAGCCTAGTTTGGTCCAGTCCTTTTGTTTGCTACCGTGCTTGGACATGGTGTGTCTGTTTTGAACCCAATCAGAATTTTGGCGCTGAACGAAGGACATCAGCCAGTGGTCTTTTTGCAACATCCATTCACTCTCTTTATACATGGTCAGCCAGTCGTTCCTCCTGACTACAAGAAGGTAGTTTGGTTGGTTGAATTTTCATCCCAGCAGATGTCCAATTGAGCTGAAATTGATTCCACTGTAAACGTGTTTCCTTTCCAGGTGTCGATACTCATATTCTAATAGTTTCAGAAGTGTTAACCTGTTCATCATTCCTAGCTACGTTTACCCGGCACAAATTGATTTTACCTTTTTTTCCAGGACATGGAGCACGCGACTCTCCGTTGTCGGTTTTCCTCTCGCGATGTAAGTGGCTCTTCATCATCCGACCACCAAGTCGGCGTTCGTTTTTAAATTCCCATCTCTCTTGTTTCTATTGTTTGAAGTGTGGCTGACCTACTGACTTCCGTTTCAAAGGGCGAAAATGCATCCACTTAGTGTCTTCCTCCCTGTTTTCAGAATCTTCCCGAACTATCAGAAGCCGGCAGCTCAACACAGTTGACCGGGGGCGCACCATCCGTGGAAAAACATGCCGTGTCGTTTTGGTCCGCACTACGCGTACCTGTAAGTCCCAGTCGTAGTTGCCTTCTTTGTGGGCTAACCATCGCAATCGCTCTGTCACCGTTTTCTCTTTACCTTTGCCTTTCAGGGTGTGGTTGAATACTCGTTCTGTCTGTTCTTCTCCAAACTCGTTTCCTACACTTTCCTATTCTGGCTACCCAACTACATTAGGGAAGCAGGCGGATTCAACCCCACAGATGCGGCTGATTTATCCACAATTTTCGATGTGGGCGGCATCATAGGTGGCATTTTGGCCGGTGCGGTGTCCGATCACACGGGTGCCAGTGCGACGGTTTGCGTGATCATGCTGGTGTTCAGCGTTCCAATGGTAAGTCCGGTTCTGATCACATGCCCAACTCCTCTTTTTATTTGCACTGCGTGTAGTTGTGTCCCTGCAAAATCTATAGAAGTTTACCTGGAATCGGTCTGAGTGCAGTCCCCCAGGTTTAAACGTCACCTTTAACCGGTTCGACGGTTTTCATTTTCAGTTATATTGAATGATAAAAGTGGTCATGTTTCTTCATCTGCATGTGAAGAGGATGTCCGAATGCGTTACTAACGTATCTTATGACACCGAATCTTCGTCACCTGTTCACTCGTGAACTCATTATCAATGTATTCCGTTGAGTAACTCGCTATATTCAAACGGCTCACTTCAATCGACCCAGTCAACTTTTCACCATCGACAGATGGGGCGAATAGCCCGGCGGTGGGTGTGCGTAGTACATTCTTTCGGAAACGTGGGCTCGACGGAAAGGCGATCGGTCAAAACCGAATCATGTACTTTTTACTGTGGGACAGTAAAATTTCACACGTATCCGGGTGTTTCTTCCACAGAACGGGGCACAAAACCCGAAGCCGTCCTTATCCAGTGACTCTGATATCCAATACTCCTGCATATCACCGTTCAGCTGTAATACCCTTTCGGTGCCTAGCTGATATGCAACCCGAAGGAAGCACGAGGGCTGGGATACCGTCAGGTTGCCCAAGCCTAGACAGGGAAAGTCGAGAGGCAGAGGTCGGGTTCGAACCACAGTCCTTCCGGTCAGTAAATTCGCGCTCTAACCACTTGGGCCATCTCGTCCCCCCCTGCATATCACACGCACCAGTGCAACACTGGTGAATTTACCTGACGGTTTTAGATTCCATTCTACAGGTCATTAGGCCCCATTTTTCTTTAGGTGACCGAGAACTGCTAGGCGTAATCAGTTATTACGAGGCGTGATTTTGTGTAACAGTGAAAAGTGATGATCATTTGGAACTCAAGAGATTTTGAGTCATCTCATGTTGCTTCATCCTGGTTTCCAACCATGAAACGTTACAGCAAATGAGGCTGTGTACACACCCACTGGGAAGCTATCGTCTAACTCACAAGCCAAGTCTAGCAAGCACAGTTCACCAGCATGGTGGGTTACCTTAGTAATTGTGCTTACAACAATCTTTTTGAAGCGAGATGGCCCAAATGGTTAAAACGCGAATTTACTGACCGGATGGTCCATGTTCCGAACCCGACCTCTGCATCCCGACTTCCTCTTTCTAGACTTGGGCAGTATCCCCGCCCTCGTGCCTCCTTCGAATGACATGTCAGCTGGACACCGAAAGGGTGTCACAGCTGAACGATTTTTTCTATTTTTTTGAGAGTCATGTGGACAGTAAGTTGGGGTTGATAGTGTTGGTTATCTTCATGGTACCTCATGGAGAGTAACTTGGAAAACCGTAGAATTTCTCCTCTCCCGTTTCGGAGGTTCGCAACCTCGAGAGCTGATCGCAAGGGAAAGTGCATTCGTACGCTTAGAGTTGCCTTATCGATGATGGCGTTTCTTCTTGGTGGATTTCCTCGACATGTAATGGTATCTTTCCCATGGAAGCAGTGTCTGTTATCAGTCTATCGTACACAAATGAAACCTCGTCAAACTTTTCGGTAGTTTCTCAAACGAGAGCCATCTGAAGAGGCTGATCCATTTAGGACTTCAGAACAGCGTTCTTCTCCATCTCCCTGAAGCAAAGCCGCTCCTTGGAGATACCGTAACGGTGATTTGTTCTTCCCTGGCGTGGCATAGCAGCTACGTACCAAATGGGTGCTACATCTGAACGATCATTATTTCATACTAACTGAATTCGATATCGCGTGCTTGTCCAGACTTCCTTCAAGAGGACTGAAACTCAAATTTTCGGTTATTGTCTGTGGTCTAGAAGGTAACCAGAACTGGTCTCAAACTACCAGTGAAGTGTTTGTGCCTCACCTGACACCGAATTTCACCATAAATCCTTCGTCCTAACTTCCTTGTTTGGAATTTAAAATATCCTGAGCGACTTCGCGTTCCACACTTTGACATCCGAGGGTACGAAAGGTGTTAAGTTCCATCATCGTTCGTTGTCATTTTCTTCCGTGTTAGTGGCTTAAATTTACCGTTCTGCCGCGGAATTTTCCCTAAGTCATGTTCCTCCCCATTCTGTTTGTGAGATTTCTGTTTTAAGGTAATGCTAATTGGATTGCGCGCATTCCCCGGAGGACTGACCAATCGGATTAGTTTGAAACTAAGCTTTGTAAAAGAATCGCTTCGTCCTGGAATGCGACGGCGTTGGATAACACTGTGTGATTTGAGTAAAAACCGTAGGTCATTAGAATATGTACACGTGCGGTATTTAGAAACGATGTCCACTCCATTTGACCATACGCATGCGTCATTGATCAGTTGCCAAATCAAAATTCCACTACTATCGATTGATTGATTGGACAACTTCCATCTCGTTTTGTAAGATATGAGACAGCATATGATAACTTGGTCCAGGCTACGTGTTTCTGTGAGCCACACGGGAGGTGGTTCATTAGGGAGCTGGGTCACGTGATCATTTAGCTATTTGGTTGATGGTGACCTGTCAATAATTGCACTTGACTGAGGTTTGGTGTGATGGAACATCCACCCGAGGAATCCGAATAAAGGTAGGACCTATTGTTGTTATCTCCAGTTAGCCTGCGCCAAAAGCTAACATCTCATCACCATTTGAGCTCAGTTACTGACCGGAAGGTACGTGGTTCGAACCCACCCTAAGCATTTCGACTGCTCCTCTCTAGGTGTGGACAAGATGGCAGTATCTCAGCCCTCGTGCTTCCTTCGGGTGGCATGTCAGCTGGGCCACAGCTGAACGTTCGTTCTCATCATTTAAAAGGCTCACTTGTCCTTAAGGGTAATGCAAATTGGGAACAATTTTTCATTGATTTTAGTCAACTTCCTAATGAATCATACCGTAAGCTAACCTCAATCAACCGCTTTACCGAACTTCCTCACATCACTATCAGTCAATAAGCAGCTCAGAGGAAGAATAATTTCACAAAATGCGTGGAACTTCCTTCTGAGTGGTCGTCACTCGAGGAGCCGATCAACACGTGGTCATCTGATGTGGTTCACGTGATTGACGGATGAGTGGCGTTATATTCTTTCTAAGTGAAAGAAAATCACACAGCTGTTCAGCCGCTCGTGGCTAAATGGTCAAGTGTTGGACCACTGGCGGAAGGTCGTGGGTTGAAAACTTTCTGAGTTTCGTGAGATGCGCACCATTGATGGTTCCCAACAAGGATGAAACAGTGCTTCTCGACTTTTCAACATAGATTAGTTTCACTTACTGAGCGAAGTCTCAGTTGAAAATTACCAAATCTCCACACACTACTATCAACCCTACCAACCGCCTTGCTTCCAATTGGTTTTGGGTTAAAGAACCGATCTGTACTGCTTCTGAGGGATTTAGCTCCGAGTTTGGCTCCCATACTATTTGGTCTGTTCACCTGATACCAAATTCTACGTGTTTTACAATTGTCGCTCATCTGTTGTCTCTCCCATTTCCCCCTCCCTTTACAGTTATATCTCTACTTTTTGTATGGGGCAGTCTCGGTACTCAGCTGCAGCTGTAAGTCTTTTTATGCTGCATTGTGATTACTTACTTTCTTACTCGTCTGCCGTCTCTCGCGAGAGGACGGGTGGACTTCAGAACTGACTTTCAATGCTCTTGAAATCCGATCAGTAGCCATGTGCAGAGTTAGGCAGCTCTGAGTTTGTAGATAACATGAATGTCGGGACGTTCGACATCTTGCGTAATGGTGTGAGAGGCGCTGTCTTGAGAACGATGATGGGGACTGAAGTGGGGGCCAGTTCACTACTGTAATCAAGACATATCATGGAATAGTTCGTGACTTTTCGTATGGGTAGTGTTACCGTCATTACCCTGCTTTTCGAGGGAGGTATCTTTAGTTGTTGCACAACCACGTATGATCTACAGGTACTTGCAGGAAACATTTTGAAGACATCATCATCAAGATCGTTGCGTTTCACAGGTAATCTCTTCCTCCCAATCCGCCAGAGGTCGCCCATGTTCCCGCGGTTGTTGGTTTGAAATCCGAGTTCAACCGTCTCCCCTAGTGCTCCGTCAGGTTGTAGCGCCTGAAACACCTCAGTTCGTCGTTTCATTTTGGTGGGAACACCAACTCGAAAACATGGCGAACATGAGCTGCAAACTAGCTGGAGCACTTCACTCGGTTGCATTTTGATTGCTAAAACTCTGCCACGTGACCATTTCTTCTGATTAACTTATGGCCATGTCGTGCGATGTTCTGGCGATGCAATTCAAGTACACTAGTCTAATTTGAATATGAGGTCTCATCATCTTTAACGACCTTGTTATGTTTCATGTAGTTGAACATATCCGTGGAAGTACTAAGATAGCGAACAAAGGTCGTTTTTTTCGGATTGTTTCTCTAAGCTTATACATCACAATTTTTATCAGAAATCTCGTGAAAAGGTTGTGTGAAAATCAGGGCTACATACATCTTAGTTGGGGAAAAATGAAGAATTACACGAATGGGGTTACACGGGTCAGTGGGTCACGGAATGACTGAGTGAAGTCAGTGTCAGACACTTTTGTGGGACTGGATTTTTCGCAGGTCATCTCAAGTTCAGAGGTCGCACATGTTTCTTCTGAACCCAAATTTGGGGGTCCAGCAATCGGATTCCAATCGCTTCTGCGATCAATAGCAGTCTGGAGAGTACGAGCCGTGATCGGTCCAGAGCTACCCGATGCCGTTGAGGTTTCTCTTCGAATGATGCCTCTCGTAAAAGAGTAGGACGTATAGTACGGTGGTGAAGAATTGCGTGGACACGTTTTGTGCAGGGCAGAGGCTATTACAACCTAGGGCACAATGATTCTAAACATGAATGCAGCAGCTGGGAGGTGCTTTTAACCTTTTGATAGCAGATTGACCCCACGTTAGTATCTCATTGTCCTAATATGATTTAATTTTCAATTTTTCCAGCAATTATTGATCTATCCCTGGGTTTTTCTCCTGACCTCCAGCACCAAACCGACATGTTGATTCCTATACCCATTGTGTTTTCACACACGTCCGACCGATTTTCAACATACTTGGTCGCGAGCAAGCCAGTTTTCTAGGTCACGGTTGCTGTAGGTCGGTTACGCGCCAAACTTCACCGGATAATAGCAGTTTGGACGAACCGGAAACTAGACACCAGGCACAGACATTTCGGATTAGCTTTTCAATACCGAATAACCAATGCCGCACGCACTGTGTTTATGGTGGCTTGGTCAACAAAGACCAAACTAAAGGTCACCAAAGCGACACGATAAACCATTGTTTAACGCGTTAGCCATGGTCTAGCGGTCACAAAGAATTGTTGCAACCACGCAGTCGCATCCACGTGGTTGAACACCGGCAGACCTAGGTCGATGAGTTTTGATTCTCAAAAGTCCGCGAAATTTAACCCTGGTGGTGATTAGATATACAACTGAAATGACGTGTTAAGCGCTGCAGACATCTGTAAACCCGTCCAGTGCAACTGTTTGTGTGGGTTGTCAAATTTCAACCGTTTATGTAGTACAAGTGCCATTTTAAACTTTTTGGAGATTAGTCTCTAATCATAAAATTGTTTATTCCTGTGCTACTTAACTCCCACGTTGGTCGAGAGTAAGTCCTCAGTACTCAAACAAATATCAAGGTTTAAACATCACACCGAAAAAGTCACATAAAAGGTCTTCGGTGTGCAACATTGAAATTCGGTTTCTTGTTGCAGCAAACTGTGTTGATCAAAGTCCAAAAGGAAATGGCGCCACCTATTGATTTGTAAAACTATCAGATCTCACACCATCACTAGTCAATAAGTAGCCTAGAGGGAGAGCAATTTCACAAAATGAGTGAAACTTCATCGCTGGAGAGGCCAGACAATACGTGACCATGTGGTGTAGCTTGCATGATTCAAGGATGAGTGGCGTTATGTCTTGTCTAAATGAGAGTTAATCACACTGCGGATCAGCCAAATGGTTAGGTGTTCATCCACTGGCCGGAAGGCTCGAAACTCTCTGGTTTTCGTGAGGTGCGCACTGCTGAAACAGCTGTACAGTGCTTCTGGGCTTTTCAGCATAGATTATCTTCACTGACAAGACGAAACAGCTATTGGAAACTATCAAACCTCACATTATCATTGATTTATAAAAGCTCGACTGAATTTCCTCTTGTGTAGTTGTGAGACAAACAGGCTTGTGGATCACACGATCCCCATTTCTTTCACATTGAATGAGCGCATAGAGATGTCTTCACCATTGTGGATGCCGTGCTTGTAAATACACACACCTGAGGCATACCTTTTACTGAAATGTCTTTTTATTTCACTGACTATCCTGCATTTGTCAAGTGTTACTCCTTCCTCTCGGTCTACTGGTTAATGGGCCCTATGCTTTGATCACCACTGCTGTCTCGGCCGATTTGGGGACGCATCCGTCGTTACAGTCGGACGCTCGGGCACTCGCCACAGTTGCAGGAATTATTGACGGAACTGGATCTGTGGGTGAGTTGCGTTGGCTTGTCTAAGCGAACTGACCAATATAGATAAAAGAACCGCTGTGCTCACTGTGCTGACTTTGTGATAAACATCCATACAACTTTCGGTCTACGTAGTGCGGCTAATATTGCGACAACAGGCTGTGCTCTTGCACGGATCTGCTTCTTTTTTCCCTACTTATCTCATCGTTTGATTGGTGGATATCTCAAACCACGCAACCCCAAAGTGGAGTAATTAGGTACAAGTAACTTACTTATGGTACCGGAGTTACACCACCACACAGGTGCCTGAATCCACCGAAAGAGGTCAGCGAAGTGCGCGCTGTGAAGCCCTGTCGGATAGCGATTTTTCTAGAACACTTCGGCATCACACGGTACCACTTGGCTAAGAGAAGGACACTCAATTTCCAGACTTCATGGAGTGCTTTATGCAATCGCAGTGATCTAAACAGTCCGTTCTTTACAAATGTACGTGTTTATGGGCGATCTCGTTTCTTGCGGCGTTATCCCCATTCTGATTGGTTCAAATTTCACATATCACATTGGCCAGTGACACTGCTACCTCATGGCAAATTGAGTCGTTTGGTTGAAGAGGTCCTTACTGCTTCGCACGCCTTATGAACTTTGTGCGGCACATTCAGTTGAAGGACATCATAGACGAGAGATCCACTTGAGTCTCCCGTGGAAACCAAATCGATTTGGAAGGGAGTGTACTTGTCAGAAACAATCTTTCTTCCTCTTCCACTCACTGTGATCAAGCTTCATTTCCATAAGACCATAATCGGCAAGTCCATGCTAGCCGACTTATGTCAGACTTATGTCAGGTTGGCCCCAGCTGAAGAAAAAAGTGGGCTCTAGCGATTCTGGCATTCACTTATTCAGCAGTGCTGCTGTTTGACGTATTGCAACCACTTATGAAGTTAGTTCATCATCCC